GTAAAGTTATCAATTCAGAACGCCTGAGAAAATAACCAGGTATTGAACCTGGCACTGGAACAAAGCCAGGCTGTTTCTCAGTTTTCAGTCTTTCAACTTGATGGTTATTTCGAACTACTGTGTCTGAAGGCCTTCCCTACTCACTTAATAGGGAGTTGCAAATACTATATAGCACAAATACGGTAGCTGCTTGGCTGGAGCAGACCCTTCACTGTAGTGATACATATTTTATTTTTATTTTTTGGGACACTATTGACATTTGATTGTGGCCAGAAAACACAGAGATTTATTTTGCTACATTTCATAATGTAGCCAAAACAGGTTAGGATGCAAGCATTGTCATTTACATGAAGGACATGCTTCTATAGCAATTGCCCTTGATTATTTTATTTTGACGAACTCAACTTGGAGAATTTCTGAAGTAGCTTGAAGTGAAATACTAAATGTTGTCTGTGTACATGGGCATGAATGTACACACACACTTATATAATGTATTTCCTGGTGATTTTCAGATGGGCTAATCTTGAACTACTTTTTGTAATGGAACCAAGGTTTTGAACCAGCTGAGCAACAGTGAACTTCAATTTGTTTCATCCTAATGGAAGATAAGATAGACTCTGCTGTACAGAAATGTGGTGTCAGAGAGTGCAAAGATGGGAACCTGGTACAAGAGAGAGTGGTTTGTTTTTTTAAGGATGTTTGTATCTATAGAAAAACTGCCATATGAAGCACTAGCTGTGCATCTCATATTTAAAAATCCCAGCATGTGAACAACAGGGGTTAAAAAAGGATGAATATCTTTGCACCTTAATGGGAGAACTGTTTCTGTAATGGTATCAAAGATAAACCAGTGTATTATGAACACTAAATGATAAAGGATGATAATATGCCATTCTTGAGACTTCTTGGCTCTTACCTAAAACATCAGAAAGTGATTGTTGAATTTTAAATAGCCATACAAATGGATGACATAGAAATTTAACTTTGCTTTGACCTTATTCTAATTCACAAGATGACTGCAAAATGACTTTGTTACATCTGAATGTATGCTGGATGCTAAATCACTCCAGAGTATAAAATCTTTGTTTTGGCATAATGTTGATGCATAAACATTTGTACCCCATACTAACCCTATAAACATCACAATCCATCAGTACAATTACAAAAAAGATTGTTTGTTTTCACACTTAAAGCAGACATGAAATAGAGTGTCCTTAACTTAATCACCACCTTGATTTACCACATTTGCATATATTTGCATATTAATTGGACTACAGATTAAAATTGGTTTTGTAATTTTAATTAAGTGTCCACAAAGGTAAATGATTAGAACTGTTTAAAATACATTCTGACATAAATAGCAGTAAAAGCTTTTGTGATGATGTTTTTGTGGAATTACATTCAGAAAGTGGCCTTTTTATGATAGTAATTTTAATCTTAAATAGAATTATACAGTCAAACAGAACTGTGGATTCATAATCATTTTTTCAAGATTCATTTAATATTTTGCTGATTTGCAGCACTTGATGAAAATGTAGTGTAGGTTTAGCTGATTGCAAAATTAGGCCTGTAGTGCTGATAAACTGAGGGTTTAAACCAAAGTCGCCTTAATAGGGTTGTACATATTTCAAATGTATTACATGTAGTTATGTAGATGATTTTTTTTTAAGTGAAGCCTCTAAAAGCCCAGAAGTAAAGGATGATCTGTCCTTTTAAAATGTAATCACCCACTTGGGTTTTCTCACTTTCAGTTCTGACCAAAGGATCCACAGTTTATTAAAGCTCTTTGTGCTAGCTGTATCAATCCAATGTATAGAGGAATTATTTCCATGTTGTCAAGGAAACATGAATGTCAGTAGGTAAAGATGTACTACTTGGCAGTGTTGTTTACTGTTTGAGGACCTACTAAACCAAAAACTATTTTAGATGCCGACTGACTCTCAAGTAACTAGAGTTAAGAAAACGTTGCTCCTAAGCCAAGAGTGACGTGTTCTCCATGGCTTGCTGTTCGTTTACGTTGTGGGTTTACTACACCAGTGCAAACTCTTGTGACCCCCTAGGCTTCAGGGAGCAGGAAAATCTCTGCAAGCACATTACTGTACAAATCCCTGTTGAAACAGAGTGGACCAAGCAATGTGCATGCTGCAGACCTGATCACATGAAACTTAGTGAGCACCCGTAATCCCATATAAACACCAAAATGTGAAGCTCTGTATGCTTCCCATCCACTGGAGGGACCACAGCAGGCAAAAAGAAACTTGGCAGGGGTCTAGGGGTTTCTACAGATGTTTCATTCACTTGGGCTGCAGTTGCCCAGAATCAAGCCCCATTGAACTCTGTTGGGCATTCTTCTCAGAAAACCGCATGCGATTGCACCGTTTAAGGGGTTTGTGGATAAGAAGGGTGCATATTAATTAAGTATTTGGTGGAAAATAGTACCCATTAAAAAACAGCAACTATGTACCATATTATTTACTTTGCTATAGTAGATAGATCCTCCATTTTCAAATTGTTTAGGTCAGGCATAGGCAAACTCGGCCCTCCAGATGTTTTGGGACTACAGCTCCCATCACCCCTAGCTAACAGGACCAGCGGTCAGGGATGGTGGGAGTTGTAGTCCCAAAAATCTGGATGGCCGAGTTCGCCTATGCCTGGTTTAGGATAATAATATGGACAGGCGGCAGGAGATAGTCCTGTTGGGGGCTTACAGTACCCTCCCTTGGATTTTTAGAGGGAGATGCATTCTTCTGTTTCATGACATGTTTGTAATACACCAGGGAAACGTCACTTAAGAGTGGAAGGAAAGCTGTGTCAGGGCATGTCCCCATTAAGAGTAAGACTCTGACATTGCAAACGTATAAATTTAGACTTATGCTTATCAGAATAAAAATATCACTGAAACATCACATTTCATCAGTTATAAATCAGGGTGTTGTGAATCCTGTGAACAGTGCAGGAGCTTTAGGTTAGAATCCTATAGATACTTTCCAGCGGGTAACTTCTCCATTGAACTCAATAAGTTCTTAAAAGACTTCAATGGGAGTTCATTATAAATTTGTGTGATCCTTGGAACTGGAAATGTCTTGCATGAATGGTGCACTCAAACTAATTTCTACTCATAGCAGACCCATTGAAGTCAATGGACCTAGGTTTCTCATGTCCACTGATCTACTCTGACTAACATTGGATACAACCCCATGTTTTGACCCAAACAGTAAAGTAAGAGTCCTGAATACCTCTTAAGGTAAAGGTAAAGGGCCCCCTGGCCATTAGGTCCAGTCGTGACCGACTCTGGGGTTGCGGCGCTCACCTTGCTTTATTGGCTGAGGGTGCCGGCGTACAGCTTCCACGTCATGTGGCCAGCATGACTAAGCCGCTCTGGCGAACCAGAGCAGCGCATGGAAACACCGTTTACCTTCCCGCCAGAGCGGTACCTATTTATCTACTTGCACTTTGATGTGCTTTCGAACTGCTAGGTTGGCAGGAGCAAGGACCGAGCAACGGGAGCTCACCCTGTCGCGGGGATTCGAATCGCCAACCTTCTGATCGGCAAGTCCTAGGCTCTGTGGTTTAACCCACAGTGCCACCCGTGTCCCGAATACCTCTTAGGAAGGTACAAATTTCACAGTGTTCCAGTTGCAGCATGCAAGTAGAGAGTCCTTTTTTTCCCGGGGGTCTGAAGGGGTCCGCATACCCCTAAACATTTTGTGAATCTAAGTTTGGCCTCATTGAGGGGCAGTATTTCAATATGAGTAGGGAAATGAGAGTACCCCTAAACATATTTTTTAAAAAAAGAAAAAAAGCACTGTAAGTAGGTAAAGCCAAACTTGAGTCTCCAGCTGTTGTTGGACTGCAACTCCTATCATCCCTGACAACTGGTCATGCTGGCTAGGGAAGACGGGAGTTACCAGGAAGTAAGCAATAAAAAAGCTTGGGCTGTGAGCTTCCACATTGAATGGTTATACTTTTTTTCTGAATGTCTGCTTCAGCTTATATGCAGAGTTCCGCATTCCAAGTGGAATGACCATCTGATTTGTGAGAGGATGGTTGGGATGGGGCAGTGCCAGCTAGAAAAGATGCTGCAAACCATGACACTTCTTTTTTGTTAACACTGACTTGCTGCTGGCTTTGGAGAAGTCTCTTAACCTCCCAGTGCCTGTTCACTCCATTTGTGAAACGGAATGAATAATCTTGATGAGAATTCATATGTAAGGTATTCAAAGTATCCGAGGAAAGCTTCTTATGTGATTCAGCAGCGGTGTTTGTCCTTGGTACTACAGCAATAAGAGAAATAAGTTGTCAAAATGGAGTAGTGTCAGCCACATTTTTCCCCCTTCTGCGAATTGCGTGTTTTATTTATCAATGTGAACTACAACATATAATCTCCTTTGGAAAGAGTTTTTGCTACAAGAAGAATAATGGCCGCAATACTCAGCAGGCTGCAGTGGGATGAGATAGCATGCTTGCAGCATTTCTTTGCAACATAATTGCAGCATCAATGAACCATGAATTCAACCTAATTAACATAACTGGAACCACTGCAATCATGCTGCCATTCAATTTACTTTTTGAACGTTCTGGTGAAGTGTCAGGGTTGCATTATTTTCTATTGAAACTCTGCCGAGTCCTGTCCACTATGAATTGTTCAGCTGCTTTCCTGCCTTGATTTAAAAAATTTTTTGCTTCTAAACTTAGTTACAGTTTGCTTAATTTTTTGGAGGAAGGGGAGATTTCATTGGCCAAGTGAGTTGATCTGTTGAACTACGAATACTTGTTGTTACTCTCCCTTTGGTAGATAATTGAATATTTTGATGTACAGAATTCAAGGTAGCAAATACAGGGTTGGCAATACCTTGACAACTTACCAGTTTGATTAAAGTCAGCAAATTGTGTCTAGGCTTGGTAGTCAACAATGATTTCCAGGAGAAATGCACTAACACTGCCACTGGGAACATGCAGAGAATTTTCACTGAGCGTGGGCACTTTCTGTCACTGTGTTGGCTGATATAGCTCAGTTGGTTAGTACATGGTGCTGCTAATGCCAAGGTTGCAGGTTCAATCCCCGTAAGGGACAGCTGCTGTTAGAGGGATTGTGCTCTGAGAGCCTACTCCACAATTTTCTGTTGCAACATGTAGGAGTTAATTCACAGACTTCAGCATAAGAAGTTTGAAAACTACTACTTGAGATATAAGAACGACCTCCAGCCGGAATATATTTTATTTGTATGGTAATAATTAAGTCTGGAAGCAATTAAAAAGCATGTGCCAAATGAAGCCAGCTTAATCTCTGGAAAGGACAATGCATTGTTCTGGGGGTGGGAGTGCAGAATCTAAACCAGTATTCTTGGTATTAAAATGTTGAAAGAAACTGTCAATAGGCAAGAATGTCAGCTTTTATCAGTGCGAATTACAATGTATCAGTGTCATAAATTCAGCATTAAAATGGTATAAGAGCAAACAAGGAAAGACAACAACATTGAAACAGCATAACAGACAACTGGGCTGCAAACTTGTTCCAAACTTGTTACATATACAATGTCTTGTGGCATTGAGTTGACTGGGTGCAAGATCCCAGCCCTGGTGCTTAAGAACCATGTTTATTTACTTATTTGTTATTTAGTAGTTTTATATGTCGCTTTTTTACTTCAGTCCTCTTAATTGTACAGCTCTTTTTAATAAATCCATTACATTTCACAAATGTTGTGAACCAAAATAAAGCCAGTGCAGCTGGAGCCAGGAGCAGGAGCAAGCACCCAGAGGTATTTGGGTCTGATCTCCACTCCTTCCTCTTAAAGCTGGATTCCTTTCAGCAGAGCAGTTGGCCCCAGAAGGCCCTGTGATGATGGGAGAGGGGAGCATCTAGCAGAGCAGGAGTCTAATGCTGCCTTCCCCTGTGTATTATTTATTTATTTATTTGAGAGATTCATGTACTGCCCTTTGGACCAAGTTTACGACACAGCAACCTAATGAAATGCCATGTACATAGGTATCGTAATAGCCCAAACACAAAAAGTTGAAACAGTTATATAAATGCCACTCAAAATACTAGATAATATCAAATTATTCAAAGTGTAAATCCGGTAATAAACTGAGTCCTTGTGAAATACAATCTGCCTTTCAAAAAGGACTCAAGAACTTACTTGAAAGAATAAAAGCAAAGTTGACATGCAGACCTGAAGGGCGTGGAGGTCCTTGGAACTTGCTTTGCTTTGTTTCAATAACACAAGGCTGAGGAAAATGTGGCCTTCCAGATATTGGGCTCTAAGTCCCTCCAGCCCCAGCCATCATGGCCAGTGATCAGGAGCGATGAGGGTTGTAGGCCAACACCCTTCCCACCTCTGCAGATACAAAAGAAATACAACCTGGTGAAATCAGATCCAGTGTTTATAGGTCAAACTTGGGCCTGATTTACAAGTTATCAAAACAATATGGCAGCTGTTCCCATCTGGTCTAGAGCAGGGTTTCCCAAACTTAAATTCACCAGCTGTTTTTGGACTACGATTCCCATCGTCCTGCTAGCTAGGGATGATGGGAGTTTTAGTCCAAAACCAACTGGAGACCCACGTTTGGGAAACCCAGGTCTAGAGGCTCTCATCCTGCATTGATCTTATAAGTTGCGAATGGATCTTAGCATAACATGTAGGAACTGCAAGATTGTGTCTGGAGTTTTGTAAGGCTTGGTGTACCGCATCCTTTTGCTGCTCTTCGGCCCTGTGCTGGAGTGCTATGTTGAAAGCTGGAATCCAACGGTATCTGCTATCTGATTCTTTTAATTGGTGGTGCCAGGCATTGGATCAGTGACTTTTTTGCAGGCAGATCATGTGCCCTCCCACTGAACTAAGTGTCAGGATTGCTTGAATTACTAATAAATCTTTTTGAGCAGATTTTAGTATCAGTCTGAACCTCTGCATCCCAGTTCAGCGGACAGCCAAACCCAACAGTGATTCTTGAGCCCCTTTCTTCTTCTGCGTAGTCGTTCTAAAGCTCCTTCCTGATCTTGCATAGTGAAGTAAGCAACATTAAAGTGCCATTTTAGTGAACTTTGTCACTTATGGGGCATGCTATATTCGGTCGTGTGTGTGTGTGTTTTTTTTAAAAAAAACAGCCCACAAACTTCAGTATTAACTCAAATAGGAATCATTTCTAGGCATCTTTGAATACATTTCCCCAGAATGTAGTCTGATTTTTGGAGCATGGCACAAAGCTTCTCAGCCAAGACACATCTTAAAAATAGAGAATTGATTTGAAAAGTCTGTTTCTTAGTTACATTGGCTGCTCTCCTCAAACCAGAGTGCAGAGTAGTCCCATTGAAGTGGTCTGAGGATTGCAACCATAGCATCAAAACATTATTCAGAGCACGTCAGAGAGGCTTTTTGGCTTTCCGTTGTTTTTATTTCCATTTCCATACTTTCTTTTGTTTTTATTTTTGCTTGTATCCAGTTGTATGGCTCCTCGGTAACATTGGTTTCATTTGCTTATGTTATTAATACCGAAGTTAAAATGTTGAAATATTTTTCTTCTCTTCTGATACTTAATGCCACTTCTTTTCAGTTAAATTGTACAGTGATTGTTGCTTCTTTGGTTCCGAAAACTTCGATGTTTTTGTTTTGTTTCTCAACCAGTTTCTCAACCAGCTGCATGTGGAAGGAAGGCTGTGCAAGCCCCACATGCCTTCCTTCCACATGCACAGTTAGGTGCAGCTGCCTCAACCCTGCCCTGGAAACCATCCAGTGTTTAAGAAGAAAGCATATGCAGACCAACTGCCCATCATACTGCAGCTGATTCACTAGGACACTCCATTTGTGTCCATCAGGCATCCAGTCCTGAGTAATAATTAGGGATGGCTCAAGCATTTGATCAAAGGCCCTGGGAGGAATAAGTGCCCTTGTTCAAATGCCCGAGAGCAGGATCAGAGCAAACACATGCCTGTGAGCAGGTCTCTTTTTGTCCCAAACCATCACCTTTAACTTCCTCTTCCTCCTGTTCAATGGAAGACCATTTACATTTGGCCCAGCGAAAGGGAAAGCAGAGGCAATGGCCACAGATACCTAGCGGAGTGTCCCAGGGCAGTTCACAACAGAAAAACATAAAAGTAAGAATACAAAGTACATAATAAAACAAAAACAAACCAATAACCCCATTCCCCACAAACACATTAAGAAAACCATAGAATGTTAATTAGCTGAACGCTTGGTTGAAGGGAAATGTTTTCACCTTGCACCTAATGCAATGAAGGCACCAGGTGAGCCTCCCTGGGGAGAGCATTCAGCAAATGGGGAGTTGCCACAAAGAAGTCCTGTTCTTCTCTTGCCACCCTCCAGACCTTTAGTGGAGGAGGAGGTTGGTTCATATAGGGAGAGGCAGTTCTTGAAGTATTGCAGACCTGAGGCATTTATGACCTTATAGGTCAAAACCAGTGCTTTGAACTGAGCCCAGAAATTAATCGGCAGCCAATGTAGTTGGGCCGGGATTTGTGCAAGACGCTCAAACTGCCCTGCCCTACCAAATTCTCAACCAGCTAAAGTGTCCAGACCGTCTTCAGAGGCAGCACTACATATAATGTGCTGCGGTAATCTAAACCTAGAGGTTACCAGAGCCTGTGGAACAGAAGTTAGGCTATTCCTGTCCAGATAGGGGCGCAGCTAGGCTATCAGCTGAAGCTTATGGAAAGCACTTTGCACCGTTGAGGCCACCTGAGCCCCAAGCTGAGAGTAAAGAATCCAGAAGTACCCCTAAGCTATGTACCTGCTCCTTCAGAAGGAGTGTAACCCCATCAAGAGCAGGCAACCTCCCTCCCTTCCATCCGATCTAGGGTGTTGAGTGTGTGGCATAATGCAAAATTGCTCCATGGCTTCACATAATGGCAACTGCGAGGGTCTAATGCAATGCAAAATAGCCGCCGTGTTGGGGGGGGGGGCGCGGCAGAAATAGCTATCATAGCTATAAAAACAAGAAAAGAGAAGGGAAGACAAAATGGTGTGGATGTGCCTTGCTCCCTATTTCATGCATTGTAGATCTTTGAGGGGATGTTTACAGAGATCTTTCGTGAGCACCATAGAAGGTACTGATGAATACACAGGTGCTCCTGAGCTCTGGATTATCAACCTTCTGTAATATAGTCAGTTGAATGCTGAACTCTGTGCTACAATTTAGAGCTGATGATACACATTTTCTATGTATCTTTGTTAAATTTGCAGGGAGAAAGGTATATTGCATTATTTTAAGTTTTTCATACTTGAGATTAGAAATGTTTCTCTCCTTTTCCATTTTAAAACTATTTTCCTGTTAAAATTTTCCTAAAACAACAGACCTTCAACTTAGCTGCAGCCTATTGATTGCTCCAATATAATTAAAGATAATGAAGTCATATTGTGAAATAAGATACTTTAAAAAAAAACCCACCTCGTTTCCGCCATAGGTGAAAAAAGTCGGCGAGTTGAAACGTATAGCTCTCAGGAATGCTATTCTACAAAACAGCTCAACTACACTTGGATTTTAAATTGCAGTAGCAATTTGGAAAAGGTTTTCAGACTGGAGCTATGTTAAATGTTAATAGCAAAATTGAGGTACTTTTTTTCTTTGATCTCTTCCTTGGCTTCTATAAAATAATGGAATCCAAACCAAGTGCCATTTATATATACACCTCCTTCTTTTGATCTTGTCATGCAGGAAGTGGGTAGCGGGGAGGTTGCCTGGCCCTTGTGCTCTTTCAGGTGAAGGCCCTATGCTGTTTTAGAAAGTTTTGTTTTGTGGCTTTTTTTTTTTTTGGCAGGAATTTTCAGTTGTATGGTATACTCTTTAGTATTCGGAAGAGATAGCAGTATTAAGTCAAGTTTTGAATTTGGAACAGATAGCAGTGTTAAGTTCCCATGTTTGCAAAGCTATTCAGTACAATCTCCCCCACTCACTTAGCATTTGTCACTTCTAGCACAGACCTCCCTCCCAAAAGGAATACTATATACCCATCACACATTTTCAATACTCTGCCTTGTAACAAGGATAGGCAGTAATGATGACCACCGCTATGGGTAGGGTGAAAGGCAGGGAGTCTAAACAGGGAGGAGCCAGAACCAATGA